GAGGCTTAATGAATACAATTTAGGAAAGCATATCAAGTGAATGTATATTATCAAATAAATAGCCATTAAAGCAACTAATAATGACCATTGGCCAGGCACAGTGGCTCATGCCTGTAATCCTAGCACTTGGGGAGGCCAAGGCAGGAGGATCACTTGAAGCCAGGAGTTCGAGACCAGCTTGGCTGACATAGCAAAACCCCTGTCTTTACTAAAAATTAAAATAAATTTTTAAAAAGCATTATTAGAAGCAACATTAAAAATTTAATGATGTAGAAGTAGGGAAAATGATGGAATGGGGTTGCTCATGTAAACAGGTTTATATAAGGGAATCAATAGGTAACATTCAAAAACAGGACTAAGAATATGTTGTGACACTTAAAATCACCAATAAAAAGGGAAACAGACAGCAATTCTTCTATGTTAGAAGAAAACAGCACTTAATAGAAAGCAAAGGAAATGTAGACAATATGGTAATGTATTTTAAAAATACAAAACTCAAGAAGAGAGAATTTATATCATAATTGTCATATCAATATATGTAATAAGTTAATCTTATCTACTAAAAGAAAAAGCCCCCTAGGTTAGACCACAAAGTAAAATTCAATTTATGCTATATGCAAGTACATATCAAAAACAGAGATTCAAAAGTTTAAAGTAAAAACTAGGCAAAGACATACCAAGAAAATTCAAAGAAAAATAACACAAGAGTTGCAATATTCAGCTGACAAGGCCAAAAAGCAAGTGATGCATTAAAAGATAAATTATATAATGAAAAATAGTTTAATCTAAAATATAAATTCAACATCTATAGATGTTTTTACATCAAAAAATATGATATCAACATTCATAATTTAACAACACAAAAGTAAAAAAAAACTCCACCATAATAGAAACATTTAATTCTCCTATCTCAATCTATGACAGATCAAGTAGCAAAATATATATTTATATATGTATGCCTGTATATATGTATCTATTTATATGTGTGTATATATTTTACATATATGTGTATATATGGAGAGAGGCAAAGATAGAGTAGACATAAACAACATAATGATAATGGATCTAAGTACCATTTGTCAAATTCCATATGAAATCAGAGACAGCACATTCAAGTATTTGAGAAATTGATAAAAATTGACTATTTAAATTAAAATATTCAGTAAATGCCAGAGAGCAGAAATAGTAAGACAAGACAATTTCTGAATACAATGTAATAAAATTAGAAATTAATAACAAAATTTAAGGGGATAAAAATCCAACTTTATAAAAACTTCAATCTATTCTCAGGTCAAAGAGGGAATTAACAAATAAAAATACAAGGGTATATGAAATATAATAATAAAATATAAAAAAACAATATATATACAAATAATAAGAAATAATGCAGATAAATTGTAGAAAATAATCCATGAGAAAACAAAATAATTCTATTTTGAACAAGTAACTCAAAACTTACTTGGTACTTTGAAATCTATCAACCAACAAACCATTAGCTAACTTAATCCCCACGCAAGGAAGAAAGACAGTATATGCAAAATAATCTTTTATTATTTTTTGTCATGTCTTTTCATGCTTTCTCAATTCAGTATATATTTACAAGCTTGAAAAAACTGAGTGATTTTCTAATAAGTTATAAATAACAGAAACTGATTATAAAAGAGAGAAAAATCTAAACATGTCGGTACCACAGAGAAAACTGACAAAGTTGTAGTGCTACTCTATCTTTAAAAGCACCACATTCAGGCATTTTCATAGGTGAAACATGCCAAACTTCTAAGTAACAGATAAAGCCATTTCTTTACCTAATAAAGTCAACAGAGAAAAAGAAGAAACTACTTTTTAAGAAAAGATTATCAATATTTGCAATTAAATAGCATATTAATAATGATATGCTAATTCAAAGTAGAATTTATGCCTTGAATGTACCAAAATATATCACTGGTAGGAATGTGTGATATAATTCAACATACTAATTAAATTTAAGGAGAAAAATAAATATATGATCATCTTCAAAGATACTATGAAATCATTTGCAAAAATTCAGTATGTAGGCATAGGCTCCCATCAGACTGCCTCTTCTGAAAACAACAACTGGAAATTCTGCACACACAATACATAACTAAAGAAAACTCACTTCTCCACTCCTCTACCTTTTAGGTACCCAGAGGTCTACACAAAACAGACTACCTGAAGGCTCTGGAGAGTGAATAAAGGAAGTCTCCAAAATGTCCTGGAGGATTAAATCAGAAAGTATTTTATATACCAAGAATGAAAAAAATAGAATCCATTCTCAAGAAAAAAGGCAGTCAATGGAGGCAATCCTGAGATGGCCTAGAGGTTGGAATTACCAAGAACTCTAAAGCAATTATTGTAATTATGCTAAGTGAGGTATAGGAAATTATGCTCATAAAGAATAAAATGTATAACATTTCTTAAGGAAAATAAAAAATATAATAAAGAACTAAACAGATATTTTAAAACAAAAAGCATAATATTTGAAATAAAAAATACTGGATGGACTTAATAGCAGAATGAAATGACAAAGGCGAATTTCAGTGAACATGAAGATGGATCAAAAAAAAATCCAATCTGTAACTAGAGAAAATATTCTTCAAGAATGAAGATTAAAGAAAGGCATTTTTAGGAAAAAAAGAAAAACTAAGAAAATTTATCACCAATAGATTGTACTACAAGAAACGCTATAAGTAATTTTTATGGTATAGGCAAAATGACACCAAAGGAAAATTGAATATTCTAGAAGAAATGAAGAACATGAGAAATGTAAACATGTTGAGAAATCTAGCCTGCCATCTGGATAAAAAATAAAATAGATTGCATACCTTATTTCTTACTCAAGGCAAATTTTCGGTGAAATATAAATCTAGATGTTTTTAAAAATAAAATTATAAAATTGCTGTAAAGAAACTTGGAAATTTATTTTATAATTACAGTGTGGAGGAAGCATTTCTCAAAAAGACAAATTTAGAAGCCTTGAAAGACTTATAAATTCAACACCCAACAATTAAAAGCCATTAAAATATAGCAGTATAAAGTTAAAGGACATATGGAAAACTAGAAAAAAATTACTTGCAGCATTTGTAGGCTAAAAGGGACCAAATTCTTTTACATATAAATAGCTCTTACAAATCAATAAGAAAAAAACAAAATATTCCAGTAAAAAAAAATATGGGCTATGGATATAAGTAGGGAGTTCACAGAAAAATTAATAAAATGACTTTCTAGCCTAAGAAAAACCCACTAAATGTTCTTCAAATTCTAGTGATGCAAATTAATACCAAAATAAGATACTTTAATCTTGCTTACTGGCAAAAAAGAAAAAATGTTTCACAGTATATGATAATGGGGAGGGTATATGGAAGAAAATACCCTCATACTTTGTGGGAACATCAATTGGTGTTACATTTTGGAGGGCAATTTGGCAATATCTATCAGTTAATATTTATATGACCTTGATCTAATAATTCTACTTCCAGAAATCTACATTACAGGTACAATTGCACATTTGTGCCAAATTCTACAGGCAAGGATATTTGTAGCATCACTGTTTGTAGTAACAAAGGCAAAAATAAATATACATCAATGAAGGGTTGGATAAATACAATTAAAATGGAATATTCTGTACCATTAAAAAGACTGAGATTGATCTATAGATGATTATATAAGTCTCCAAGTTATACTTTTGAATAACATATAACAACATGAGGCAGGACAGTTTATGATATGTGCTTTCATCAGGTAAAATAATACGTAGTAAATCTGTGTGTAGCTATATACTCTTAAATGTGTAGAGACGTATATATATACACACAGAGACATTTTATTCTTTTATATGCATAGATTTTTTTTAAAGTACACAAGAAATTACTATCATCTGTGGAAAGAATGCTAGAGAACTGAGGGTCTGGGGTGGAAGAGAGAAAATAAACCACTTTTTGTGATACTTAAATGTATATTATTCAATATGTATATATTATTGAAAAAATAGACCAGTTTTAAAAGCCAATGAACTTAATCATTTAATCATTTATTGCATCCATGAAAAGAGTAAATACAAAGTAAGTTTTTAGTATACTATGCTTTGTGTAAGGAAAGCCAATCGATCGCTTGATCAAGTTGTGCTTTTTTCTGTATCTTATAAAAGAATTCTCACTTTTTACTATATGCCAGGCCCAATGCCAGATGCCTAAAAGACAACAGAAAAGGCACTGCCCTCAAGGAGCTCACAGTTCGATGGGAAGATCTCACATTCAGTCTTAAAGGTACACTGTTGTCCTTCTGGCATAGACCTAACATGTTTAGTAAAGGCAGTTCCTTCCCAGACTGTGACAGGAACTTTCCCAGTTCAGCCATCCTTCTCTGTAGACCTCTCCACATCTTGCAGTAATTGTCAACATCTCTGAGAGAGTTGATGACAGCTATCCTCACCCCACAAGCTTCCAGGGATGATCCCAAAGACACTTCTTATAAGAAGGACTACTGGCCATCTTAGGATCTAGCCACTGAACATTACAGAATAATTTTAATTCCTAGAGGCATTACACTTTTTCCCACCTTTCCACTCTTGTTTGTGCTGTTTCTTCTGCTTGGAATGTTCTTCAACTTTGGTTCCCTTTCTTTAGCTGACTCCTGCTCAACATAAAATATCAGCTCAAGTAGTTCTTCAGGAAAGCTTCTCAATTATCTGCCACACAAAGCAGGTGGGCAAATTTCCCCCATGTTCCCACAGCTCTTCTCGCCTTACATTTGGCTATTTACTTGTCAGGTTCTCATATTAAAGTACAAATTTACTTCAAGTTGTATTCCTAGTGCCTGACGTGGAGTAGGAACTCAATTGTCTGATGATTTCAACTTTGATGACATCTCTATTCTTCCCTCGGTATTCCCACTTTACAGTACCACACTGAACTTTGTGATTGCTTTCCCATACGCCGACCCCCTACTGTCCCACTTCCCCAAGTCTAGGACATGATACTCACTTGTCCAGTGACATCCCAGGGAAGGCAAACTTGCCCAGACAGATGCGATAGACAGCGCTCAGTGGAATCCGCTGCAGCTGCACACAGCTGAGCATGATGAAGTCGTATTTGCAGATCAGGAGAGTCTTGTCTGTAAGCACCAAAATTCTCTCCTGCTCATTGTTCCAGTGATCTATCCTGTAGGAATCATCACAGAAAAGTAAAGTTGATGACATAACCTTTCCAAATGAAAGATAATGGCATTCCTAACACAGAAGACAGTGAAGTTTGATCAACTCAGAAGAAAGAAGGTTGGAGAAACACCTAACATCACCCCCCACTTAATCTAGTCCCATGACTAAAGGAGGAGGGAAGGTGGAAGATGATGGGGAAATATTTTGTCATCACAGAGCTCAGAGATGACGACCCATGATGGAACCCATTAGGAGACTACCAAGTTTGCATTGCTTCGGAAGTCAACTGATTCACACTTCTCTACATCTTCACAGTTCTCTAGGAAACCTTCATGGAGCACATCTTCCTCTTTGAACAGCAAAAATATCTCTTTGTTCTAACTCAATCTGTACACAAAACTTACTCACTGCAAACTAGTTTATGCTAATCTCCAAGGTCATGTTGTTGACGAGATAAAATGGAGACTTGCAGGCAGGTCCACTGTCCCTCCAGCCATCTCTATTTAGAGCTCCTCCTACCATAGTCGTGTTGTAGAAATACAGTGAAACAAGTGAAGTGAGATTTTTATGAACCAAAGACAAAGTAGACACTAGATAAGTGTTTACTGAATAGATTTTCTTCAGACTTGGGTCTTTCAGGGTCTATTGGAAAATTTTGACTAAGAATTAAGAATTTGTCCAATGGAGAGAAAAAGAAGGACTGAGAACAATGGCTTCTGTTTAAAAGACAGTGAGCATGGTCTGTAATTCCCCTGACCAACAATACTTTGTTGTCTGTCTACTATATCCTTTGGGATATAGCACTCCACAACTTGTGTTAGAATTGTTTCAATAAGTGCTTTCTTTTCCCTAAAAGACTGAAAATATTAATCTGTGACTGACTGATGTCTGAATCTCACCACACAGAATCAATCTAATGTGTAAATGGTATGGGCATCCCCTTCCCAACCATTCTCCACAAAGTACCCACAATGCAATTCTTAACATCCAAACTGAATATCACTCCCCCATTCACTTTATTAAATAGCATCCTTTTTATTTTATGATCAAAGCCCAATCCTCCTAACATGGACTACAGGTTTGTATAATCTGACCAGGGTTATCTCACAGTAGGCTGAGAGCACTCATTGTTCAAGTCGTGGCTCAAATGTCTCATTCAAAGAGGATTTCCTAAACTGCTGTATGAACTTGGCCTCATTACACTTTCTCAAAGCATCCTTATCCTTTCTCCCTTGTGGCATTTATCACAGTTGATAAAGAGGAATGAAATATAAAATGCTTAGCAATGAGTGCCATGTGGGCACTGATCAATCAGAATATACATTGCAGTACAAAGGGTAGGAAAATGCTAGTAAGAACAGGCTGAGTATCAACCCTGTGTGTATATTACATGAGGGCAGAGACTGTATGCTGGGCAGTCCAACTGCCTGCAATAAATATATATCTGTTAAGCAAATAAATGAATGCCAATAATAATGATTTTGGAGGCTTTTCGGTGTACTGAGGGTGGAGGTGGGAACTTGCAGTAATATCACTTATTAACTCTGTAATATTGGACTTTTAACATTTCTGTGGCTCGAGTTCCTGTGAAATGGAGACAATACTACTACTCAACTCATGTGTTTGGGAACAAGTTTAAAAGAAATGAGTCTCAGTCAGGGTTCTATAAATTAGTTATTATTATCACTGGTAGGGGCCTACATCACTAAGTGACTTCGGATAACTCAATTATATGCCACTTTCAGAGTAAGCACAGACAAGCAAGACAAAGTTAGGAGCTGAATCAATGGGTGGAGGAACAGGAGGAGACATGAAAGGAAGAAAAAGGAAAATGAAGGAGAATGAAAGAGACAGAAGCAGAGGAGAAAAAGAAGGATGTGATCATTGGAGAGGCCCTAGTATATGCTGGCCAATACATATTCATGAGTTTTAGTTCTACATCCCACCACACCCTTTTGAAGAAGGTTATATCCAAAGCCAGAACAAGATAGTAGAATGAGTGGTATAATTGGAGGAAATATTAATAGCATAAAGATCAAGATATCTGGTTTAAATATTGATTCTACTGTTTCCATCCACCAAAGCACACAGTGATACTCACCTCCCACTCCACTGAGAGAAAGAGAGAATTCTTGATAGTCTGCTTAACACTCTCAGTCTTAGTCAGAAAGAGATGGGGACTCTGAAATGTCTTATCGGATATCTACATAAACTTCTCTAAATAGACTGCATCTACTTAGCAGTAAGTTATAAGCTGCTGCCTAATAAACCAGACTTGTTTTTAGTCTAAAAAAACTGCAGCTTTTGGTTGAATGGTTTTACTGAAAATGTCAGCACTCCATAATGAGATTTATTTTAAAAGGTAAAGGATTTGGAAAAAAAAAAGGAAAATTCTTTTTAGGAACACAGAGTGCTCTGCTGTGACACAGACTCTGCATAATTTACATGTCGGGAATGTCTGAATTCAAGTAAACACACAGGCTTATAAATAGTTTGGGGCCACCATCTCAAGCTCCTGGGTGGTACACTTATTTATTTAGACTTCAATCACACCATTTTTCCCCTAAGAACTCATGAAGAAACATTAATTACATATTCCTAATATTAATATTATTGAAGTTTGGGCAGCAATAATAGCAACAAATATAGCAATAGAACTACCAATAATATATTGTGTTCATACAGCTCATAGAGGTTTATGCAGCCCTTGAAATATCAATGCTCTCATTTAATCCTCATAAGAACCCTTTCGACTAAGGGTTTTTAAAGACAAGAAAACTAAGGTCCACAGACCCTTAAAATGATTGGCTCCTAGTGTTTCCCCCTAGCAACAGTAGAGCAGGGACCTGAACCAGATAGGGAGACACCAAATCAAGGCATAGTCTTTGCTTTCTCCCCCATACCAACCACCTTTAAAAAGTGAACACTTCAGAGTGGTGTGTAAATGGTAAAACCAACCTCTGGAAGAAGCTGATGTGATGAGACACATGTTTCCTGGAATTGTTCTCTCCAGAAAACTTGCTCCCCAAAACAACACTCATGACTGTCCCTTCCCAACTGTGTCCTAGTTCAGTGTTCCCTGTCTTGGGGAAGAACCGTCCCTCCATCCATTTATGCAAGAGTCATTCTGCACTCATCATATTTCCTTACCTTACGTGCCAAGTCCTAAACATTCACTCCCCATATGTCTCTCCATACTACCCACTTCTCTCCATTTCTACCCTAATCATCCCCATCCAGCCTTTTTTTTTAGCTCCTGTCACTAGGCTAGGGAGGATAGTCACCCAGACCTGGTTTATCTACATCTATTCTTGCTCCCTTCTGACTTTTTCACCCTATTGCAGTGAGGCGATTCTTTTTCTAAAATAAATAAATAAATAAATCTGGTCTTCACTGACCCACCTGGCTTAAAATACTTTAATAGTTCCTCATGGCTCTTATGAAGAATGACAAAATGTCTTTACCTGGTCTAAGAGGTTCTGCAGTCCGAGCTTATGTATTTCTTCAACCCCATCGCAAGCCAAGTCTCTCCACACCATTTTCCTTGATCTTTCAGTGTCTGGAATTCACCATGTCCCCTCCAACTTAAGGGTCTTTGAATATGCTGGTCCCTTTGCTGGCGAGGTTCTACACGATCTTCTAGCTCGCCTCGCTAATGCCTATAGAGCTGAGCACCATCACCCCCTTCCTCCAGGAAGACTTCTGTGACTATTTCTCTTCCTTCTAATATACACTCTCATACCCCACACATTTCTCTATTATGGCATTTGTTCCAGATGCAATTTTACAGTTATTTCTATGGTTGCATAATTAATGTCTTCTTTCCTACACCGTAAACACTGAAAAAGTGGAGTCATTTCTTAGATTCGTGTCTCTAAGTTTGTAGGTATCTAAAAAAATATTTCCGAAATTAATAAAGAATGAACAATCTTTGCTCTGTGCAACCTATATGTCTTGGCTTATGCTGCTTGGGGAATCTGATCCTCATGTTTACACATTGAAACACTCCCACACAAAATAACACATTTTCAAAAAAAAAAAAATCAGTAACATTGGAAAAATATTCATGCCATAATAGTGAGAAAGAGCAGAATACAAAAATATTACCTACAGTATTCTTCCAATTTTGTAATAACAACAACAAAATAATACACGTATTAAAATGTTAACACCGATTATCTCTGAGTGCTGGAATTTCAAGTGACTTTTATTTCTTTTTATGCTTTTATTTTCCAGAGCTTAGATTTTTTTTTATAATGAACATATTCTACTTTTTTGATAAGAGATATTTTAAAAATAAAAATAATCATCCATCCTTCAAGTTTCCAGCTTACGTGCTAAATGTATGGAGTCTCACCCACACCTCTGTCACCCTCAAGTGGCTGTCATATTTCCTTCTTTTAAGTGTGCACAAGCCTTTATCAGTGCCTCGGTTGTGGCCCTACTCACAATTTCCTCTATATTACAATGATTTCTGTACTAGTCCTACCGATTTACACACAAATACACACGCACACATTAAATAGGAGCCCCGCTAGTACAGAGTCACTGCTTTATTTATACCTGAGTATCCTCACTGTGCCCAGCAAAGAGCAAAGAGAGAGCAAGGCCTCGGCAAATGAGCAGGGCACAGAATTAAAAAATAGAATCTTAAGATCCATCCCCTCTGTTGTGAGAGTCAGTCTCCCCTGGCAAAGGATTCTCCACATCTTGCCCAGTCACCCGCTCTTCCTCAGCACCAGCAACACTCCTTATTGACAAGAAGGAGCCTAGACTCCACGCAGGTAAGAAGGCACCTGAGAGCCCAGTGAGTCTGCAATTTTCTGGAATGGCAACAGTTTCACCAGCAGAGGGCAACAGCGAACTAGAAATGACAGGCTGTACACATCGTTAAGAGTTTCCAGGACCCACACCCAGTTACTCAAATCGCAGATGCCTCCCAGTGGCTTCAGCCCCACACCCAACAATACTTTCAGTTGCTCTTTTAATGCTGTGTCAAATCAA